GATGTTTATTTTTCTCTACCAATGTCCTGAGCTAACTCTATTCGAAGCGTCGGGTCTACATCAGAATAAAAAGACAATCTCGATGCGAAGAAGCTACGGGAGATGGCCGCCGTTTACTGAAGATCTTCGCCGACAAGTGGAGATCACCCGCGCCGATACATCCTTGTATAGCGGGACACTTGTCTGCTTCTCTGGCATGATTATCAGGCTCTTACAGTAATTGGGCTAGTTGTTGTTGCGTAAAAAGCATTTCTTGTTATCTAAAATCCAGCTTCCGATTGTCGGCGGTATTATGCAATAGCGCTGTGTAGTCTAGCAGCTGTGAACAGTACCAAGAGTAACGTTTTCTATGTACATGCTATTTGTGGACACTAGACCATGGACTGCTACAGCAAGAGCGGTAGTGGCGTGATGTCCTCCTACGTCCATATCAGATTATTTATCGTCCACACATATACGTTCCAGTGGTTGTACCAATGGGGAACACGAGGATATAATTAGATAAAGGATACTACCATGAGATAGCGCCAGAGCGTAGAGCTGAACGGATCATGAGGTATAAGGGCCTCTGCTAAGGATATCATCCTTCTTAGCTAGTCGAAGTACGTGCTGTTCTATCTTGCAAGCATAGTCGCACCTAGAGACCATACTTTCTCAGGGATCTGGTGGCAAATCGAGATCTGCCTGGTTACAGGGATTGTCCTTTTGGCGCCAGCCCATCGGTCTGGGGTGGCTTGAGTGCGAACTCAGCGGCAAAGCTCTCGCACCTAGTCCTAGGCAGCTAGATTGTGTGTATCTGCAGCCTGTCGGAACCCCACTATAGATTTACTAGACAAACCCGTCGGGGAGTCCGATTGGATATTTGGCCGAACATAAGGAAAGGAGGAGCTTGGCATGCGCTGCAGCGCTGGGTTCTGCCACTTTTGTTTCTGTGTCTCAGTAATCTTAGGTATCCGGATTGATAAGTGACGACAGGGTATTCATGATTCCCACCATCTCCGTCTCAAAGTCCAGCACATTGTTTCCTTTTGCTAAAGGATCTTTTGTCTCTCATCGTTGGAGCTTTTGTGACCAGATTTCCGGACGCGATCATGCTATAGCGAGCGTTGAGCTTCATCCCCGGTCTTGTTTGGACTTTTGAGACGTCGCATTTATCACATATTTCCCGTTTTTCTCGGTGTGTATAGTGCGATGTGTATGGAATACCGGGGCCTTCTCCAATATAGCAGCATGTCTCATCCAACTCCCTGATTCAGTGAGGAACATTAGCCAGCCAAGGGTCGGACTTCGCTCCGCTCAATACGGAATTACGGATGTTAGGGCCCGCGGAGATGGCTGTAAGTATCCAGTCTTTCGCAACTGGCTGGTATGCTAGACTTTCTTAGAACAGTGTTGTATGGCAGGACACCCGAGCCAGTGCCCAATAGTTCACTCACTAAACATCCCCTAATTCAATATCATTGTGCCCCGTTATGACCCCACCCCGAATCTCAACTAACAAGCGAATGCGAGGATGATCAACAATTTGCTCAATGTTAGAGGCAATATCAGCAACGGAAATGGCACCATACTTGTTATCCGGAAGACCCGTATCCGCAAACTTTGTTTATGCTCCTTTTGTCTGTCTTGCTCCGTATGCCACCATCAGTGTGACGGTCTTTGGGCCTCCTACTTTCGGACCTTGGCTTTTGCATCCCATCCGCACAAGCGAGATGCTTTATAGGTTTGGTCTATCTAAAGCTGGTGTAACTGACATAACACAGACCGAAGTCTCCCTGCCTGGTAATATTGCTCCTTCACGTTGTTCTTAGGAGTGCGGTTGCCCAAATGATCTGACAGATACGGTTAACAAAGGACCACCTCATGGTACCTTAATACAATAAGTCGGAAAGCCTTTCGACAAAAACGCGTATCGTCTATTCAGCCTCCGCCGGAAGTGTCATCACGGGTGACAGAAATATTCTCAGGGTGTGCGGTGCCTTGGGAATTACAACTCACCCTAGCGGGACTTGGTTACTCTGTTCAGGTTGTTGTACATGGTACTCCACTGCTGCAATTTTCTGGTTAGCTAGAGTTGGGTGGTTGACTGACAAATACAGTTCTCATAGCGGAGATTGGGTATTTGAGTGTAAGAAGACGGGAGTAAATCTGACTGTGCGCTTGAAATTCAGGTTCAGTTCTCCAAGTTGCGGAAGTTTGATGACAGTCTTGGTCCTTAGGGATCTTTGCGAGATTCGAACAGGTTAGTTTCGCCACCGTTAACGAAACAATACTTTCCTGAGGAGCATATTCCTTCTCAAATGAAGTGAGGATGGCTGATATTATGGTCCATTTCTTATATCTCTGTAATGGAGATACCAGTCCCAAGGAGCTCAATAAACGGTAGCTCAAGTCCCAGACATAACTAGGGGTATGGGCATTAAGCCCATATGAAGCGGTAAGATAGGTATGTGGGAGAGAGGTCCAATCAAGTCGTAATCATATACATCGTCAGCTTTTCCATCATCGCGTAGCTTATATTACACATATAGCAGCAGAATAGCTATGGCACAAGATAGCCCAGAGTTCGCTTATATGCCTGCCGTGCTGTTCGACCTGACAAATGGCGAAAGGCAATGTATAGGACACACAGGATGAATATGAACAGAATGCAGACTTTCATAAAACAATGAACACAAAGCCCTCCGGCTACCAGGCATATCTGAATTGAGCCCGCTCCCAATCAGTCAGATCTAATAAATCCGTCTGGACAATACGATGCTCGCTGGTATTCTGGGGCACCCCTGACTCAAGTGCACGTTTATCCCGACGCTTATTTTCATTGAGCAGATAGAACATTAGGGCCGCTTCAACTACGATCATCATGGATGAGGTGACGAAATATGCACGGAACCCGGTAGGATAGGTTGGTGCTTCCTTCGATAGGAAAAATTGCGGTGTGATAATCTGACCCACACAGTAGCCGACAAAAATCATAACCTGTCGTGAGGTGGTATTGAGTCAGACACGTATCAAGGGTACCGAAGGCTGCCACGGGTCTCATGTACTTACACTGACGGTCATTTTCTTGGTGAATCCCGCGATGTTGGACGATATCAGGGACATGCACATTATGTAGGACACCGTACAAGTCAACAGTGAATATACAGCTCCCAAGCGAGACATTTTCCGATCGGTCGGCAGAGCTGTTCTCTTGTGAGTGACCTGTCAGTATACAAGGGATCGAAACTTACTGTATAATAGAACACTTCCCACAAGCACGCATACATTGCTAAGGATCATGGCAATGCATCTACCCTTACCGATCCACGAACATACAATACCCCTAAATCTGTCAGCGGGTCATCAAGGACACTGAGCATCTTAGGACTCACGCAAGCAACACGCTGACAAGTTGAACGGCATGTTCTGGCATAGCGACAACAGTGGATTCGACACTTGAGAAGCCAAGGCCCGTGAGAATAATCTTGTTAAACGCGTTCAACCCGCCTCCGGGTATACACTGTAAGAATACAATGGAGAACAGCATCCACGCCTGAGGATCACGAAGGGCTTCCTTGACTTGATAAACTTTGTATTGTCGGTTTTGAAGGCCCGCGTGATTGTGGAGCACCTGTATTTGCCACTGTTAATAGCCATGGTCTTGAACGGATCCAGCTGGAGAAGAAAAGTTCTCACCCGAACCACAGCAATCTTCCTCTCCCGAGGTGTCAAGAACCATGCCGACATGGGTGAGGAGGGCATGGCGAAAAAGACGATAATTCCCCACAGCATAGTGATAGGACCAAAGATAAGATATAGATACTAACAGAGTCTCAGCAAAACACCTTGCGTGACAGACAATAGTGAGGTTCTAGTCATACCTGCCATTGGGACAGTTTCCCATGCACATGGCCAATACCGTTCGACACACCATCACCAATAAAGGCACCAATTGGTCCACCAGCCCACCAAATGCATGATCGTAGGGCATGCTCATTCTTCGTGAAGTATTGACTGACCAATAGTGTAAATGCAGGGTTGTTGGAAGCCTCGAAGAGGCCCAAGAAGAACCGATTCACAGCGAGTGTTGCGAAATTAGTCGATGCGGCAGTTGTCGCGACACAAAGTCCCCACATAAAGATCATGGATCCTATCCACTTGCCGATAGGAAGCTTTTGCATGAAGATCGAATTTGGGTATTGCCAGAAAAGGTACCTACAATTCTGGGTCAGAAAAAAACACTTGAAGTCCAAAACGGTTTATGCATACCCAAAATAGAAGATCGACGATGTCCAACTATACTGTTGGCCCTTCAAGTTCTATTCGGGAATTGTAAGCTTTCCCGGTTATTCCCCGCAAGAGGATATTTCCATTACTCACCAGATCTGTCCTCAGTCCATAAACGGCAGCAGTAGATAGAATACCTTTGTCGATGAAGGAAAGGATGTAGCTCACGGTCATCTATCAATAGGGTCCGGTCAGCAGAGAACCAAAGGTCAGATGTTTCATCGCAGTTACCATCGGGACAATGATTAAGTCAATCTTCCAGCGAACGACAGAGGCTTCCTTGTCCGTAAACTCGACATCTATCTCTCCTGACTCCCCGTTGAATATGTTGATAGCGTCATCGTATCCGTGGGGTTGTTTGGGTTGTTCGACATCCGCTGCTGGACAGGTGGAGACAGCGACATCCACGTCCTTGGAACTCATGTTTGCCTGCATTTCGCCCAAAGTTTCCAAGAAGCAGGATTTATTGACATGTCAATTAAGTATATAAGGACGATGAAGGTAAGGGGGTGTCAAAAGTCGGAGTTTTATGAAACTCCGACAAGCTTTTGATCAGTCCCCCAAGATCGTTTCACGCCCCCAGACAAGGGTCCAAGAGATTCCCCGCAGAGTTTCCACATCATACTCACATCTCACTAACTGAATGAATCTAGTTATCCCATGTGGAGAATGGCGGGATCGGCGCGGCCCTTTCTGGGAGGCAAATCATCCTTCTTCAGTTGTGGCTACTGACTGTGTGATGAATAACAGGGGTTTTGCAGATAGAGCATGATAAAAAAGGGTCGGCTCTTCCCGATTGCTCGGCAAGCTACCGATTGTCTTCCAAGCCGTCGGGAGCCTGCCGATGCTGCTCTATCATCAAACAATTTATAAAACATTTTTATAACACACTTATATTCGCTGTGCATGCGACATTCACTGGTTGAAAAACATACAGTCCCAGGTTAAGATAAGAACGGAAAACGGACGTGGAAGATCTCCCATTTCTCTCATCTGCCTATGCCAAGCCCTAATCTTTAACGCCAATATGCCAAGCGAAGAAAGCGGCGACCATTTTCAGCATGTCGTGGTGCACGGGTTGCCATATGATCGCGGTTTCTCGCATGGACAGCAGGTCAAGGATAAGATTCTGAGGAATATTACTCATTATAAACGGCCAGGGAATCTTATCGCATGGTGAGACACAACGTCCAACCATCTCGCCTTGATATGCTCATACTACGGCAGGCCCACTGCGCTGCGAATTATTCGGGAATGTTATATTCCAGGGCTGGAAAAGTATTGGTTATCGGGTCTCACAGAGATGCGTGGCGTCGCCGATGGTGCAGGAGTGGACCTGGAAGATATAATCTTATTGAACGCTCGATATGACCTTTCACATATTAGCAATCCTTCGACGACGGACAACGATTCAACTCGAAATCTTCCTAAGCTGGCCTTGGAGGCTGAAGATGAACGCTACTATCCGTCGTATCCGCGAGCGTCTTCTGAATGTACTAGCGCGATTATCCTATCTGAAGCGACCGGCGATGGAGAAGTATACACGGCTCAAAATTGGGATATGTCAGATCGGCTCCTCAAGGAGGATGGGATCATCTATCTAGAGGTTCATCCACACCCTTCGGAGAATCTACCGTCCTTGTTCCTCGTAACTGAGGCGGGTCAATTGTGCCGATCAGGAATGAATTCGGATGGGCTTGGGTTATGTGCAAATTCACTGTGCAGCTCAATTGATGCACTGCCATTCTCGATGGACGACGCTGTGGGGAAAGGGAGAATGCCGGCTATTCCTCCATCCTCGGCTCTACGACGACTATTCCTAGAAAGCCCTAGCTATGCCGACGGCCTCAAACGAGTCGCCAGAACACCTCGCCACGTTTCATGCAATTTGATGCTGACAACTGCAGACAATATGGGAATTTGTCTAGAAATAACTCCCAAAATCATTTTCAGAATATCCGGATCAGCTGGTTCTGACACTCCGTATATTCTGCATAGCAACCATTTTCAAACGCAATCATTTTTGTGTCAGTCCGAGATCCAGGATACTTTAGTGGGGGGCAGTACGTGGTATCGAGCCGACCGGTTGGAAGTGGGCATCCGAAGAAAAGCGCTCATCGGTTTTCTTACGGAGTCCGACATTATGAACGCCTTCAAGGACCATGCTGGATATCCTCATAGTCTTTGTGAGCATTCGGCCCGGAAGGCAACCGAGGGCCCGTTTATACAGCCAGGTCATCCGAATCCCTATTCTGGTTCGACATGCACGGTCAGCTGTGTCATCTATAACCTCACCAAAAGGTCGATCAAAGTATGTAAGGGGCCTCCATGCAGGGGGACCTTCCAAGAGTTTGCCCTAAAGCGAGCATTTGAGTCTAGGCGATAAATCAGATGCAAAATGTGCATACATTGGACGGTGGAAAACTATTCCGCCTTCCTATTCAATCAGGGGAAGCAATCACGTGGACCTCATTTGCATGTCGATCGACCATTTAGGAAATTGGTATGGAGGCACTTTATGAAGATCATTCCTTAGACGAGCGTTGGATTACTCAATAAGGTCGTATTGGAGAGTGAAGAATGGTGGAGACGCCCCGTTTAGAGTGTGAGCTGATTTGTCTATGGCCTGGGCACTTTTAATACTAAAATAGTCCCCCGAAACCAACCATTTCTTCCCTTCTCCACTCGATCCTGTTATTCACCGCAATCCAACATTTTTCTTGCTCACGGCCAACTATCTACTACCTGATTGTTCTCAATGAATGATCCGGGGAATCTCTCAGCTTCCAAGCGAACCCGGGCGCCCATCGCGTGCCTGCGCTGCAAACGACGGAAAACCAAAGTACACTCGAAACCCCTGGTTGTAATACTATTATGTCGTAGTACTAACCTCACGTAGTGCAATGGGACGCGTCCAGTATGCACGCCATGTCAAAAGGCGAGAGCTTGTATATATATGCACCTTTGAAATGAACCATGTTTGTCCAGCTGACGACTGAAGCTTGCACCTGGGCAGGACTAAGCCGCATGGGGGGCGATATGAGTGAAGAGTACGCCAGCCTGCTAGAATATACCCGAGGTTTGGAGAGCAAAGTCGCAGAGTTGGAAGGCCGTGCCCAGCACAACATCGCCCCGGCGTCGGAACACCAAGTGACATCGGTAACAGCCGAACTATCAACCAATGTGGCCCTACTAAGTATGAATGCCACGGCCGAACCTTTCTTTGTCGGCGCGACCGCGGGCTTTTCTCTATCGAAAATGGTGGAAGGGATACTATCTCAATCACCCATTCCACCCCCAGCGCTTGAATCAATCACTTCCTCAAATACACAGGCTGACAACGATGTTTGTCTGTCCACGAACAATCATAGTAGACCCGATCCCCAGGTTGAGCGGAAGCTGGTGGACATTTTCTTTAGCCGCGTTCACCCCCGGTACCCATTTCTGGACAAGTTCAATTTTGACGAATTTTACCATTCTTATCAAGGGTCTAGAGATATGAGGAGTGTCGGCCCCTCCAAGCTGTTCCAGCTTCATATGGTGCTCGCAATCAGTGCCCGCATTATGCAGCTTCATCCAGAAATGGGCGGGAACATCAACCCGGAATTTTACTATTCAAACGCTACTCGGTACGCCGATGAGGCACTCCAAGTTCCCGGGCTCGAGAGGGTTCAATCTCTACTTCTACTAGCGTTGTACATTCTTCGTACTCCAGGTAGTATTTCTAGCTTGGGCGGCTGGCACATCATTGGATTCGCGGTTCGGTATGCAGTGGAATTGGGAATGCACCGTAACATCAAATGTGGCGGCCCACGAGCACAGGACCCATATCGCATTGAGATCCGGCGACGAGTCTTTTGGAGTGCTTATGTCCTTGACCGTGCTGTATCCTTGACTCTAGGACGTCCGTTCGCCCTGTCGGAAAATGATATTGATGTTGATGTATGTGAATCCATCAGATGGAGACATGATACCTGCTGGCTAAACCATAATCTACGTATCAGTTACCTTATGCTCTGGAACAAAGCCCTGTCAACGGAAAGAAAATCCAATACAACGAGTCCTCTGCGGCACTTACCGAAACAAAAACCTCGAATCTATCCTCCTTCGTTCACTTATGTCGGCTCAGGCGGTTGGAGAGCAGAATCAAGCAGGAACTTTACAGTGCTAGTACCCCAACAACCATGCAGGATTACTCTTATGATGCGACAATCGACTCTTATCGACAGGAACTCCTCGAGTGGCTGAATAACATACCCTTTAAATTTACATCAGATGGCCAGGTACAGGAAGGTTACTCTCTGTATGACACCCCGGAGTTCTTCCGCATACAATACAGCAAAGCTTTGCGCATGCTCCTACAACACCGAATAACCCATGTTTCCTCCGAGACAAACTCGTCCAAGGATAAAGAGTATCTAGCATTAAGTGCTAGAGCCGCGGGAGATATTTGCCAATATTACAGAACTTTACACCAAAGAAGACCCTTAGGATGGAACTTCCTCGCTCTGCATTCTATCTTCACAGCTGGTCTGACATTGCTATACTGTATCTGGGCAGAGAGGGAGCATGCAGACCTAGCTCGATTCGAAGATATCCGCTCGTGTTCTAACGTTCTCTTTGCGATCTCCGAACGATGGCCGACGGCAACCAAGTTCCGTGACATATTTGAGGTCCTCGCTAAACGGATGATAGATCTAGTGTCTTTGTCATCTATCCCTCACGGTGGTTTGGGCGATACATCCTTTCTACCGGAGGCCGGCATTTCGCCTGCTAGGGCTCTACAAGAATCGGCAGGGTATCCGGCAATGAATCAAGACGACTTCTGGGCCATGCTTGATGAACTGGTGGATGATGACTATATCCGCAGTCAATTTCAATTGAACGGCGTGGAGAGCTCATGGGGCCTTTTCGATAGTTGACACGTCACGTGTCAGCTTTATTAATCCGTGAAGCTTTTCAACATGTATAAAAGCAGACGTACGGCACTGTATTATAGAACGGCAAAGTATGTATATTAAGTCCTTGTACGAAAGTCGCAGCTTACAGTTGAACTCATTTGCACTGGATATTACATTTCCCATTTTATCATCGTAGACGTTTCTTTAGAATGCCTTAACTGACAGGTCCCTCTATGCCATGAACCATAAATGACTAGATAATTAAACAGAGAGCCGCCCATCTATCAGACCATTACCTCAGTCGCACTGTAACCACTCAACCTTCTTTGCAGGAAGAGGCGGATCGAGGGGAACTGGCAATATAAAGTAAAAGAAAAATAAAATAAAATAAAAAGAAAAAAGCAAATAAACCAAAACTCCAATACGACATGCTAGTTCTTGCCACCATACCTGAACGCCGCACCATGAAAAGCTTCAGATCAATGCTGCAACACTTTCTTCTTCATGGAGCATAGAAAAGAGAAGCGGATAGGAATATCTTCAGTGAACCATTCCTGGTCCGTCTTAGGCTCAACCCACTGAAAGGTTATCATATGTTCCTAAAAACGCTCTTGCTCACACAGCGACTGTGATACTTGACGTGAGTCAGTCACGATCCCAGTCTCGTGAAGCAAGCCGTCAATCTCATGAAAGATATCATTGCCACTCAGGCTGCCACTCCGGTTGCGGCCATTCCGGATCGGGTTCAGGGTTAACCCAGGCTGTTTGGTCTTGAACTGGGTTTGCTTCGCCGTCTAAAGCTCTTTTGAGAGCGATCTGGTGTTCTTGTTCCTCTGGTGAAAGCGCAGCAAATGCGGCAGTATTGGAATCCCATTGCGCTACGCAATCCTTGTTCCAATTGCATCGCTCAACTTCGCCGTATACCGGGTGGTTATACCGTGGATGCTTGGAGGGCCATCCCGAGGCGTGGTAATGGTGCTTGATCAAGGCGCTGCGGGAGTTATGGTTTCCACTGTCGGAGTGGCCTTGACCAGCTGCGAATGCCTCTACGGTGAGGACGAGAAAGCCTCCAACAAGCTTGGACTCGGGAATATTATGGAAGGTCTTCCATGTCACCTCGTGCCCCGCATTGATGCTCATCTCGGCCAACACCGCTGATGTGAACGCAGATGGTCCTGTCCCACTTATGATATCATCAAAGTCCAACTCTAATTCCGCGATGGGCTTGCCTTGTTTGACGGAAAGCTCGTTTAGCCACTCCAGGATGTGATTGACCAACCGCATCATCACAGGCTGTCGTGGTTTGGCCATGAAGGTCCACTGACAAAACGACTGCGACTTCTGCCCAAGGATGGGATGATCATTAAAATCGGGTTCATCGATTTCGACTCCAATCACGATATCGATATCGTGCTCATCGTAGCGTTCTGGAATAAATCGGTCAATTGGGCGGAGAGCCTCGACGTCAATATCGGCCCAAACTCCGCCGTCAACGTACATGATCAAATATCGAAGTAGGTCGGCTTTGATGATTTGTGCCGTAAGGGAGCGATAAGTGTCCACAATGTCCGGGCGGTTAAACCCGTCAGGTCCAAAGTGGGTTTCAACGTAGTAAAGATCATTTTGATCAGTCAGTACTTCGTAGCGATAGCTGGGGTTCTTGGACGTCCAGCTGCGAGCCACGGCCAGGTCACGCTCCTCGAATTCGAATGGAGCAACCTTCCATGATTGCCAGATCTTCTTAGGGAAAAATCGGTGGGTTTCACAGGATCGGTAGGATAGACCATCACTTAGCTCGCCAAACGTGTCCGTGATAGAAAGATAAGACACAAACAAGATGGCCGCCAGGCATCCGGGGATGATCCTGCGGATCTGTCTCGGCAGGCACACTCCGGACATTGAGGATGTCATTAGTTATTCCGGAGACGCATAACCCAAGAATGTCAATGGATGGGGACCCAGGAGAAAAGGATACCCTCCGACGTTTATGAGCTTCGCGTCACGGACCATGCGGAGATTGCTATCTCGTGTCCCCGCCGCTCAACAAGATTTTTGTTGGATCATCCTTACAGCTTCGTCTTAATTTCGCTAGTTTTAGTTATCCCCGTTAGCGTCCATGGTCTCATTGGTGCTGAGTGGCTGTGTTTTAGCGTGTACTTGACCGTGCTGCATCCATGGACATCATTAAGCTCATTCGGGGTAAAGTCCAGATCCATTTAGTGCGCCACTGGAGCCGCTGCTTAAGACGCTATTGGTAGCGTGCCTCTTTCACTGGGTCGACGCGATTCCCACAGTGCCGGGGGGTCTGGGGTAAGCCTCGGCTCCAGGGTTACATTGAGAGCCAAGTATGGACCCCGACGCATGTGTCTTGGTCGCTGGAGGACGATAAGACTCTACGAACAGATCATCTAGCTGACGACTGCTCTATTTAGTTCCCAGTTGGTTGGGTGTTATTGGCCAAAGGATTTCCTCGGAATTTTCGACACATCACCGCATGTGATGTGTGATGCCCTACTCCAGCATTACGTCTCTTATCTGGGTCTAAATTGGTCATTGCCTCTTCTCATTCTCCATTCCCCAGTCTCCGCACGAGCCGGGTCAGATCTCCCGTCTCTGAAACCGCGCGGACCAGGATTATCTCCGCCCTCAAATACCAGTTTTCGTCATCCTTCCGCGAGGGCAATTGCGCTGGTCCAGTTCCCCGGGCCATTGAATCGCCATAATGGCCAGTTACCATGAAGAAAGCGCTCTTGGAGACATCCCCAAAATGCGTACAGTAGATCTGGAGGGCACATTAGAGAAGGGATATTGGAAATCGCGCCCAACGTCCCGGATCCGATCTATTCCTACGCGGGCCGCTCAATGGTGTGTTGATCACCTCCGGCCGGCATTCCTGACCGGAATTGGTGGCCACAGCAGCCACCAGGGCAGGCGTACCGCTTACTTAGACGGACTTCGAGGTTTTGCAGCCTTTCTCGTATACTGGGGTCATCATGAGCTGTGGGCTCACGATGGCATCGGGGCCGAGATGATTTTTGAGAATGCCTACGGCTACCAGAAAAAACACTACTTTGTTGCCTTCCCTGGCGTGCGCATCTTCTTTTCGGGTGGCCACTTCGCCGTCAGCGTCTTTTTCGTGCTGTCGGGCTATGTTCTTTCCGCCAAACCACTCTCCTTGATCAGAGCCGGCGACTATCTTCAACTGGGGGATAACCTGGCCTCTGCCTTATTTCGGCGCTGGTTACGGCTGCACATTCCCGTCATTTGCACCACCTTCATGTACATGACATATCTACATTTGTTTCGCATCCACGCGACTCCTGAGATCAAATCAAGCTACGGAGAGGAGCTCTGGAACTGGTATGTCGAGTTGAAGAACTTCAGCTTCGTCTTCCGCACCGGTGGTGAGCCCTGGTTTACCTATAATTTCCACTCGTGGTCTATTCCCGTCGAGTTCCGCGGGTCCATCGTCATCTACACAGCTCTCCAAGCATTTTCGAAATGCCGACCCAACGCGCGACTATTGTGTGAACTCGGATTGATCTTCTACTTCATGTACATCGCCGACGGCTGGTTCTGCGCACTCTTTATGTCAGGTATGCTGCTCTGTGATTTGGATCTACGTGCCGCCAGGGACGAGCTTCCCGACGTCTTCATGATGCTAGAGCCGTTCAAAGAGGGCATATTTTACGCCATGTTGTGTATCAGCATGTACTTGGGTGGCGTTCCGTCCCGGACTTGGGAGGAACAGTTCTTAAGAGAATCTCCGGGGTGGCACTACTTGTCCTACCTGAAGCCCCAGGCGGTCTTTGATTTCAAATGGTTCTACCTGTTCTGGGCGGCGACCTTCTTGGTGGCATCAATTTCGCGGATCCACTGGCTGAAAAGCTTCTTTGAAACCCCCTTCAACCAATATCTTGGCCGCATCTCCTTCGCATTCTATTTGGTCCACGGACCGGTCCTCTGGGTATTGGGGGATCGCCTCTATGCCGCGGTGGGTTGGGTTCGGGACTCGCATGCGATAACCTGTCCAGGGTGGATTAATCGCTTCCCTCTGCCCAAAGTCGGCCCACTTGGACTGGAATTGAACTTCTTCGCTCCCCACCTCATTTTGCTGCCGGTGACGCTTTGGCTCGCGGAGATTGTGACCAAATTCGTCGACGAGCCCAGTGTCCGGTTTGCACAGTGGTTCTATCGGAAGACGCTGGCTCCCGCAAACCAATCATAGTATATTTCTTACATATATATAGAAACAAAGTTTGTTATTCTCTTTGTAATTCACGAGATTTCTTCGTAGTTCCAGCGATCGGTATGTTTTTTTTTTTTTTTCTTGGTTGGCTTCCCTTGTGACCAAAGACATTAACTTATCAGTAGCTCGTAAGATGAGAAGGTAAAGGATCCACCACGGACCAATTTCCGCTTCCGATACAAGTGGGAGAGAGAAAATTAAATTAAAAATAAGAATAAAAATAAAACAACCACGCCAACAGGAATAGATTAATTAAGAAAGGTCTTGCGTATACCCACAGCTATCACATGTATTCTCCTCATGGTAAGGTGGTAGAGGTGGATCCTCCAATACCCCAGACGGGGATGTTCAGTGGTTGCAACCCCGGGGAAAAGAAGCTCGACCAAATCTTAAAAGACGCCACTAAGTCGAGCTAACAACCAGGGTTACGTGACGAATTGCTGCCGGTCCCTGGATACTTGAGAGGGGAAAACACGGCTGGGCTTAGAAAAAAATAACAAAAAAATGGCGCACGCGGGACAAAAGTATCCAAACCTGCACCGTGCCCTAATTTGCCTCCCAACGTGGTTGATTTCTCCTGTTAGCTCCAAGAAACCCCCCCGTACAATAGGCTGATGTCTGCTCGACTATCGGAGTTGATTTCCCTGCTACCCCTCTTTCGTTAGTCATGCTGGCGAAAGGGTTGAAGCGCATCGTCCCCGTTGTCGGCGTGGTGCTGGTCCTCGTCGTGCTAGGGCTTCAGTTGTACCATCGCAACTATCTCCATCGCAATAGTAGTCTTCCTTTCAGTCATTCCTTTCCAAAGCCTGATCAAAGCCCAAGCCCGGATCCTAGCGGAAATCGCTGGGGTCAGCAATACGAACAACAACAATATGATAACCAACACACGGGTCTCGAAGCGTCTTCGGACCCCAAGATAGACATGTCCGCCACCCATACGGAGTTGTACTCTGTATCAACCCCAGACAAAAAGTTGTTTAAAATCGAATTTGGTGGCCGACAGGCCATTAATCCTAGTATTATTCCCCATCCCGAGCAGCCGAATACATGGATCATCACCGCACAACTGCACAAGCCTGCCGACAAGCACAAGAGCTCGGTCTGGTTCGCCGAACTAGTTTGCGACGCTGTCTTTCGGGATGGCGGACGAACCCTAGGCTGTGTTGAGCCTCCCTTGATTCTTCCGATCGCCGCGACGGTCGGCGATAGTAACAACTGCTTGGGCGAGCTGTCCTACTTCACCCTCAACATCGGACCCCACGATGCGCGTGTCTTCTATGGGCCCGAGGCACCGTATGCCGTCTACGGGTCCAATTCCCGATTTACCTGCTTCGGACAATGGGTCCATGACTTCCGGCCACTGGTCGACTGGAAGGGAGACATGGATATCTTGTCCGATCATGGGTTCCGCCAGGCCACCGAGTTGCAACGTCCGCTTCCCTATGGGGCCGTCGAGAAGAACTGGTTTCTCTTCTGGGACGCTACAGGACAAGCGTATGTCCATTACGATGTGGCTCCCAACCGAGTCTTCGCCCGACTGGAACTTGACGGCTCGGTCGGTCCAGACTTGGCACCCCTTGCGGCTGCGACCGACCTGCAGTGTTTACAGCGACATCTTCCGGCATTGAAGGACGCGGAGTTGGAGTCGATTCACCAGGCGACCAACTCGTTGACCATCACTCTATGTCAGCGGTCGGATCCGCTGTGCCAGGCGACCGATCTCAATACGTTCATCCTCACCATCTTCCAACACAAGAGTTTCTATGCATTCCATAGTGTATACGAGCCATACGTCATGCTATTCCGCCGGTCAGCTCCATTCGATGTCCATGGCATATCGACCAAGCCCCTCTGGATCTCAGGTCGTGGCACTCCTGGTCATGGAAAGAAACCGAAGGCACTGGCCGCAGGAGAGTCACAGGCGTGGGATCACACGGAGATGTTATACGTGACGTCCATCAGCTGGAAAGCACAGGGCAACAAGTACCATGGGTACTTAGATGATGTGATGTTCATCGCCTTTGGTCGGGAGGATGAGGATACAGCTGGTATTGATATTGTCGCGGGTGATTTAATGAAGGATATGGGGCTTTGCGGGATGTTGTGATTTTTTTTTTTTTCTATTCCCCTTACAGTTTTACCTTTCTGTCTTTCCCCTTCCATGATCCGCTCGTATGATCACTAATTCTTTTACCTCTTCCTTTTCTTCTTTCTCTATTATTTCCTACTTTGACAACAATCTCGGTGATTGTGGTTGGTTTTTATGTCTAGCAGTTACGCCAGCACGACGGAGTTTACACCTTTTCACATTACCCTTCACATTTACCCTCAACTCACTATACCACTCCCCCCAGCAAGAGCAAGAGATTGTCCGACATCAAGATAAACTTAGGTTCGATCAGCATACCCACATAATAGAGTCACGATCGTCAGATTGACATGAAGATCACTGTCGGATGAGAACCTTAGTAGACGGATGAACAGCCGAACCCTGGATGGGCTTATCTAGCTAGCATGGTTGCGCATTAGTGGGAAAGTCTGCGGCTTTGCAATCCTTGTCGTGTGTACCATCGCCGTGGGTGTGATGTTTTGCCGCGGGCCGAGAGTGAAGCTTTTTTATATATCTCGGCTTGTATATGGGTAGGACCTCCCAGTGGAGTCAAGCTACTACCGGCATAAATCCTTTTATGTCTTACTGTTCCCATTAAAGTATTCTAGACATTTATTCTAGTGCGACAAATAAAACAGACAAATGCAAAGGCATTTATGAATATTTCCTGGGGACATAGAATTGCAGAGGAAATTCACCTGACATCTCGGGAATCCGAGAGGCTAACCCTGTTTAGGCCAGCCGACGGACCTCGGAATTGCTGCACTAGACATGGGGGGGGGAAAGGAGGGAGTATATATATAAAGCCAGAAGAGAGATGTAAGATCCGAATCATGTAGATATAACAAGCACAGGATCAATTCTGAACAGAGCTCGCCAGAATTCTCGCACGGTGGCCATAAGTACCGTCCATACCGTGATGCATGATGTAGCATGCCCTCCCGATGTCGGATATTGACCTCCACGACGGCGATCGGGCAAACTCCTTGCTTAGCAGAGCTGTGCTGGCTAACAATGCGATTATTATACGCGATATTCACCCCAATTGGAATTTCATTCGATTCTTCTCACCGATCTTCGCTCTGGTGATCCAGTATTTAATCACCCTCACCCGATCAACGCGTCGCGTCATGTGATGTAAACAACAATGCTAGCGCTTACTAAGCCGTTGCACCCTGAATAATTTCTTTCAGAATGAATCACAAATGCATGGAGTGACTGATCCTGAAACTGCTACCAGTACCCAACTAAGTAGACTCGTCGAAAGACTTAGTCTGGTATTTGAGGCAAAACTAAAGGGTCAATGGATGAATCCAACTCTAACTGGAAGGTATCATCCTTCTCTACGCTATCTACACTTTCCTTTCACCAGCTGTGCCGGTTTTCTGGACCACATAATATTCACGTTAAAAATCTCATTGATCTGAATATGTTCAGATTATGGTCATCTATATACAAAGGATTATATTAAGATAGACAGTAACGTCCAGAGAGCTGGACTATGTATACATTCACAGTAGTAATCATAACAAAACTCCACACCATTAAGCATGGCCCTTAAGGCTTTGACAGCTGTTCTTTCCGGAAGAAGAGGATGTAACCGGCACTAGAATCATGACATGTTAGTATCATCGTACATAATGAAAGTCAAGGAATGTCAATAACTTACCAGACCAACAACTGACAAAACAGAGCGACCCAGAACCAGGCATTCGCAACCGCACTACCACCGAAGGTGGGATCAGGCGAAACCGGCCCTGGGCCCACATTATTAGGGGCGAAGGCTCTCGCACAAATAGTAGCGATAGAACCAAGGACTTGAGAACAAACAAGCGTGAAAAGCATGTGCATGCGGGTCAAGGTTTGCAAGAGGATGATACCGAAGCCGAGACCCTGGATCGAGTCCAGCACGCCGAGCCAGAGCCAGATACTCCGGGATACGAGCGCGCCGCCGGTATATCCTCCTGTCACCCAAGGAAGGTAGTAGCCAATGCCAGACACACCCCACCAGATTTGGGCCCAGCGGGGCGCTCCGAGACCGCAGGCGAACACGGGCAGGAACCAACTGTGTGATTTGAAGTAGCGACTGACGACGAATAGGAAACCTGCCCATACGAAGCCGTAGAAAACAACACAGAGAATGACGATTTGCCAGTGATGGGCGTGCTGGGATGTCCAGAGGACTGCAAAGAGACGGAGTTAGTTTGGCCAGGTGTGAGGGGAACTGCTATACAGGGGTCAACTTACACTGCCAGTTGCGGCCGTAGGGGGCGCTGAGGAAGAAGTTCTGAAGGATGACCGCGACAAAGTTCCAGAGGACGATCTTACGACGGAACACGGACTTGTAGAAGGAAGCGACCTTTCCAGGAGTTTGACGATAGTAGTTGGGCAGACCGAATGTCAAGAGCAAGCCAATTCCGATAAGGGCGGCGGCAATGGGGTAACAGATGGCACTGTAGAGGCTTAGTTAGCTAGTCAAATCAACCATAGAAAATTGATAGAACATACCTCATCTTCCAGGAATTGGAGATACTGTTTGTAGGAGTCAAGAGACCCTCACTTTGTGCCGCGGACAGGGTCGAACCCCAGTACCAGAGCGCAATAACATAGGCAGACTGGATACCCTGAATTAGGCATGCACGGAAGATCCATGTTTCGACAGGTGCGCCACCTTCGTCACCGAAGTTCAGCGCGAAAAAGAAAGAACCACTAGATGAGGCTGCGGCGTAAAATCCGCTACCGACATTCTGAATCCATCCCCGACTGAAAGAGTTGCTCTCAAAATGGGCGGATCCAATGAAAATAAAGGCAATAGCGTACAAGAACCATGGCGCAGACAGACAGACCACTGATTTGAAATAGCGGAACACAAGCCACCAGAGAATAGACGTGATCAGATACGTGGTTGCAATTCCATACAGTTTCTCGGCTGTCTGACCGACTTCACCCGTGAGCAATGTGATCTGGTACGAGTTGGCAGCAATGATCTGGCCTAAAGCGAGGAATAAGGAGTAGATGGGCCAGTCACCGATGCGAATCTGCATCCACTTCTTGAGACCGGTGGGAGGGACATAGTCCTTTCCGAGGAGGAACTCGTCGTCTTCACTGTCCCGGGATTGCGGGCCATCGCTACCACTCATACGGGAGCCGTTATCATCGTAGAACGAGCCGACAGGCGATGCGCCATGCTTATCACGGTAGACCGAGGGAGTTGGCGATTTGGTGCGACCAAGTCGGGCATCACGGAACTTGTCGAACCATTCCTTTTCACTCTTGATCAAGTATTCTTCGATACACAACTGCGACTCCGAGTTCGATCCATTGAGTTCATCGAGTTTCTTATCAAAGGCCTTGTAATATTCACCGGTGCTATCGGTGAAGAACGGGTCAACCTTCTGCAACTTAAAGTCTTTCTTGCCACCGACAACTGAGTCGAGTGAGAGAACGGATGCGCTACTGAGACGGCTGCCGGGGTCGAGGAGCCTAGGAGGGGGGAGCAGACTCTGGGAAGCAGCTGGGGGTGTTCCGGGACTTGAAGGAGGCTGAATATTCCTGGGATGCAAGGAGTCTTGGCTGTATCGTCTACCACCTGGACTCAACGGCATGCGCACAACACCCTGTTGCTGGGCGGCCTGTAGCCTGCGGCCTTCTTCGACTTGCGCAGGCGTAAGAGTGTACTCGTCGTCCGCATAATGGTTGACAATGTCGTCGTCACTGCTTTCTTCCTCAACATCAGTAATGGCGCCACCGTGGGCTTCCTGGGTGTCTTCATGTTCTGGGATGCTGTCACGCTGGCGAGCGCGACCACGACGGCTCTGATGACCAGGTCCAGAGCGAACACCAAGTGAAAGCTGTCGCTGAAGTCCTGATTTCGGCTTCTCCGTGCCGGTAGGACTCGGATCTCTGCTGTAGCTGGTCTTCGGCTGGGTAACATATTCACTTAAGCGGTTGAGGTTCGAATAGCTGCTTTCCCTAGAATGAGCAAGAGGCGTCTGCGTTCCAGGAGTCATGAAGGGGCTCGCTGGTTGAGTCATAAGGCCACTAGGAGTAGTTGTTCCAGTAGGAGTGAACGGCCGACCGTTGTGCTTAACCAGTTCCTTGTTGTGTACTTGGATTGCGGTGGTTTGCAGGATCTCCAAGTCCTCGACCCATTGCGCGACCGGGAATCGCTGTTTAGCAGAACGGGCACGCATCATGGCTCTGGTCTCTTGTTTCGAATTGAGTGCGGCGTCGATGGCAAGCTTGAACTGGTACAGAAGATGAGATGTCGCAGTAGATTCAACGTTATACCACCAACCAGGCATCTGACCGAGACCACCGACACGGGCACCGATACCCAAGGCTCCCTTACGGCCGAACTCGACTGCGACAAGACCAAAGGGCTCGTCACGAGAAGGAATAAGCGCAAATTCAGCACCGGAGAAGATATAAGGCGGAAGGGCGGTGAATTCAGGTTTTGAAAACACACGTCCAGGGTAAACCTTCATCATGTGGTCTAGCTTCAGGGCGGCGAATTTACCATAAAGATCGATAACAGGCCCGATACAAATCACTTGCACGTTAGGACGAGCCTCAAGGACAGCTGGCATCACATCGGCGATTAAATCAACACCTTTTTGCATGGACCAACGACCAACGAATACTAGTAGATCCGCGTCGGGGTTGACGTCAAGGCCAGCCCATTCCTGAGCCTGGCGTTTCAGGTCTCCTCTGCCGGCTTCATAATCAGGATCCACGTGAACCTCGTCAGTGTTGCCCATAGCCTTTTCCTTATTCCATTCTCCCACATCCGAAGGATCAGGGTTAGGCAGGTTGCCAACCTTTCTCAACCCCCAGAAGATGGGATAACGGGCGTAGGACCGCTTTCCGTACTTCTTGGACACACCAACGGCACCGAAACCCTGCTGGTGGACACGAAGATAACTAGCACCAGCGTGAAGCAAGTTGAAAACCTCACCGAACTGCACATACCGTCTGACAGTATCAATATCCAGGTTAAAGACAGAGCACACCTCCTCCTTTTCTTTCTGTGTACGCATAGGCCAGAGACCCTGGAATTCAGCGTTGTGAAGGGAGAGACAAGCTGGTACAGTGTCGGGAAGAAGGTAGAGTGGAGCTATAGAGCCGTGGTAATCGTTGATATGGTACAGGTCAATTGGGAATCGTTTGCATGCCTCAGCAATACACTGATTCCAGGCGGAGTAGTAAATAGCACTGTTGAGGTCATCCATACGGGCTGGATAGGGTTCAGACTTGGATTGCTGACGGAACACAGGGGCGTCTAGAAGAACGTAGGTGATGTTGTTCAAGATATGGTACTGGACCTGAACTTCATAGGAGTTTCCGAGGATAGTGACGTTCATGGGTTCTGCGGGTTTATCCACTGGGTATTCAACTCCACCGACACAGGGGACAACCCAGATCAGGTCTTGATGTCCGAGAGTTTTACCCATGAGCTGGGCCATGACACCAAGACCACCAATCTTGATCTTGATCTGCCAATCCTCGATATCATACTCCATTGTCGCGATGAGAACCATGCGTCTCTTGCCAGAAGCAGCGCCACCAATAGCGGTGTTGGTCT